AGTTGCCAAGCCCCTTGCTTTTTTAGTGTTTCTTTACAAAAATTAGCATACAAAAGCAATAGGTTCCACCATGGCGTTTACATTTATGTATTTGTACATAGGCTTCTTCCCCATTTCCCTTTCATACTGGTTCCCTTCTTCCCCTCAAATTGTCCTTCTCCTTTCATGTCGTGTGTGTGTGTGTGTGTGTGTGTGTGTGTGTGTGTGTATTCAAATCTAGATCTCATACATGAGAGAAAATACAGTATTTGTTTTTGTGAGTCTGGCTTCTATGCCTAACATTCTGAGCTGTATTCTTAAGTTGCATTGCTGTTTGGTAGCGATTCTCAAATTCCCAACAGATGGTCTGTATGCTGACCACCGGTGACGGTGACTGGGGTCCAATCAGGCCATTGGCCACAGGTGACGTCATGGTGGGAACAAGACGAAAAGGAATAAAGAGAAGGTAGGAAAGGGCCAGTAGGGTGTGTGGTGGTGGTGGGAGGCGGGTACTGAGTGTGTTCTGCTCTCCAGTGTCCTCCAGCTTCCTATGCCTACTGCCTGGCTCAGAAACTTTCTCTAAACATAGACTCTATCACCAAGGCCAGATGCAAGCCCAGTATACAGCTGTGCCTGGCCAAGGGGTGCAGGCAGGGTCAGGGATAGATACAGATGTGTGCTTCTTTATTCAGGAATCCTCCCAGGGTGGATACTGGGGCTTTGTTTCTCTGTCTCTTTTACATGTCCCTTTCTCCTTCCCTAAACATCTTTCCCTCTATGTCTGTGCATTTTGTCCGGTCCCCCTGAGACTGTGGCCGTGTAGTCAGAAGTCTGCAGAGACTGTCTCCCTTGGGGGTCAGGGAGAGGGTCATATGGTGATTTTCTTGCCAACACCAAGTTCACCCTTTCTGAAGAGTGTTCGAATCCTTTGTAGGAAAGTGGGAAGCCTGGGTTAGCTGGGCAGGAGCTTTGCCATTCAGGAGCTGCATCTTGCCTCTGAGGCACTGTGCCATGGAATGCAGAAGGAAGAATGAAGTCCTGTGACCCAGAAACTGCCTTGCTCTGGCCTGTCTCTCCTCCTTGGAAGGGAGCGGTTGGTGTAATGGAGTTGGAGGTCAGGGTGCATCTAAGAGAACACTTGGTCTGACCCCCCTAGTATGGGAGTTCCTCCCTGACTGTCATGGACGGAGTCCCACCATCTTGCTGGACCCAGGCAGCAATAGAAGCTCCTGGTCCTGAGAGCCAGTTGCCCAGCCAGAGGGTACTATCATGCAGAAGTCACCCGTTTTCTGTTCTCTTGTCACTCATGGAGGCTCATGTTGGACCGGTGGCCTTTCCAGGGCCCAGAGACTGAAACGGCATCGGAGGCAGCTGTGGCAGTTGTGGTTTGAACCGAGCATCACATGAACCACTATGCCTCACACCTTCCCAGAGATGGGCTCTTCTCCTTGCTTCGCACAGAGGAGTTATGGGAGTAGAGGGCACCCATGTCCTAGTGGGCTCTCTGCTGTCCCCAGGTGACAGCTCTCAGTTACTGGAGTTTTAAAATGGCCTGTGAAATCCCACTGATCTGCTGGACTTCTTAGAGAGCGTAAGAAAGCATGGAAAACTTTTACGTTCTAGCTGCTGAAATCCAATTCTGGCTCCATAGATGGAGACCCCTGATGCTCTAATAAGCTCTAACTGAACACCCCTTGCCTCCTGGATGCCTTCAACAGGGCCCCTTAGCCCTCCAGGTCCCACCCACTTTCCTCCGGCCGTAACATTAGTAGAGGGTTGCAGGTCTTTGCCTTTCGGGCACAGAAACCCCTAGCACCTGACAGGCTGGCACAGGGCTTGATGTAGCTCCCTGTGTCTGTGGCCCCTCCTCCAGTCCTGCCTCCCACACGTGGTAATTAAGCTCACAACATCTAGTATAAGCAAATAATAACAAGGGCATTATCTCTGTTAGTTTGTGTTTTTCCCTGCCTATCATAAAGCAATTAAAATAATGAATGCCTTGTAAAACAATAGGTAAGAGGGTTGGAGGAATAGCATACTATGCACTGTGTACCTCTTATGCTGTGAATTATAGATGCATTAAAACCATGGGGGCTGCAGGGAACTCCTGCCTCTGGGCCTTTTCCATGCTGAAAAGTGTCTGTCCTTTGAGGCAGCAGGCTCAAGCAGCAGGAAATTGGGCCTCCTCGTGGCCAGAGCCCATTTGTCTGCTGTTATGTGTAGCACAGTTGGTAGTGTGCTTGCCTAGAGTGCTCTAAGTCCTGAGTTTGATTTCTAGTCTGGCATGAACTGGAAGTGGTAGTATACGCCTCTAATCTCAGGAGCTTGGAAGTTCAAGGTCATCCTTGTCTACAGATCTAGTTTGAGGCACTTGAAGCTTGAATAGACCCTGACTCAAAAACAGCCAAATAGAAGCCAACACAAGGATGCTGGTTTGAAAGTCTATCTTCCTCTCAGCCCTCACCATTCACGGGTCAGTTCTGAAAGTAGCAGTTGTGCTGGAGTTAAGGTCTGTGGTCTGTTTTGGATGGACGAGGCCTATGGTTTCCTAGGTTGACCTCGGGTGTTGACCACCAGGTAAAACTGCAGTTTCTAGAGTGGATCTGACACCCTGAGTAATTTAGTGTACCTTGTGCTTTGATGTTGATGCTGACTCAAGATTGAACTACCGCATTCAGAGTGAGTGTACAATGTGAGGCAGGGGTAGGCCTTCTGGACTTAGTAATCGAGTCTGCTACGTGCCATTGGGCATCGTGTAGTTCCACAGAGCAAACAATATTTTCCCCCATCTCACAGGGTATTCCCTGAAGTTGAGACAGGGCTAGATTTCAGTTTTGAATATGCACCTTGGTTACCATGGCTGCCAAGGATCACATCCTATCTTCCTGGATCTCAGCCCCAGGACCAGAGCTAGCAGGCCAATGAGACTAGCCTATTAGGTTTGAGAGGCAGATATTACACAAATCAGCAGATGGTCTGAGGCCTCCCCCTCCCAGGCTCCCACTGTGGGTGTTCCAGCTCCTGCAGCTTCAAACACTGGGGAGTAAAATACCATGGGCATTCAGTCCTACAGCCCAGCTTCTCAACCCTACTCTATCTGAGCCAGGGTTGGCCAGTGAGAGAGGAGCAGGCATCGGGAACCTCTGCAAGCCCACTTTTCCTGCTTCCCTGTTCTCACTGGGCCCACCCTTCTCCTTGCAGGAGGTTTCCACCTCTGATTTCATTCCCACTTCCCAGTCTCACATTAGGCCAAAACACAATGATCCCCAGTGTTTTTCTCTTTGTAAATTGATACCAGGATTATAAATGATGAGTATAATTTCCTCACATATTTTTCTATCTCCATCCGCACTAATAATCTCAGTGGGTGTTTGAGCATGGGTCTAGTTAAATTTGATTTAGATGAATGATGAGTCTTTATTGTATGTAAAGCCATGCATTTTTGGACATATTTATAAAGGTATTTGTTTATCTAAAATTCAAATTGGGCTGAGAAGCCTATATTTCATCTGGTATCCGAAACCCAGGCTCTGGAGGTGACAATGAACAGATACTCAGATTTCTTTGTATCCATTCATTCAAAGTTTTGATTGCTTTTTTGTTGTAGTTTTTGGTTTGTGTGCTTGGACTGTGTGGCCCAGGCTAGTTTTTAACTTGTGGACAATCCTCTTGGCTAGGCCTCCTGAGATTATAGGTGTGTCCCACCATGCCTAGCTTCATCAATGTTTATTGTGTTAGCTTTGTGCTTAAGACTGTGTTAAGTATAGGAGCTGACAGCAGTGTTGGATTAGGAGTGGTTAATGAAATAAGTAAGTGAATTATAGAGTATATTATTGTTATGGGAAACAATAAATCAAAGCAGTTGGCATGACGTTTTCAGAGAATAATGAGAAAGACTTTATTGGAAAGTGGGGAGTGTATGAGTGAAAAATCTCAGGACACATTGTATGCAAAGGTGGGGTTTGGATATCTGAGGCCTTCTTTCTTCAAGCATATTTCAAGTTCTGAAGGGGGAATTTATTATCTCTTGTAACTCAGGGATCTGGACTGTAGGCACCGCTGGACCCAGGCATTCAGATGTAGGCATTGTTATTCCATCACGTCTTTCTTCCATGCTGTCTTCCTTTTCAGGGATGGATCCCTTCCCCTACCTGTTTCAGCAAATGTACTATGCTTGTGCCATATTGCCTTGACAGAGATCATCTGCCTATTCCTAGCCCAAGAGGGTCTTGCCAGGGGTCTTGCCCAAATGCCCGATCCAACAGTCTGTATTGCTAGAACCATTGTGGGTCCATCATGAGTCCCCCTTGAATGCCATAGACAGGAGAAAAGATGGGAAATTGGTAAAGAGAAATGGGGTTGGCACTATGAAGGTACAATGACTTGTGCGGAGACAATTTTGTGCTGACTGCATCCCCTCTTTAACCCTCTGTGACCAGGGGCAGGTTTGTTGCTTTGCCTTTAAAGTGGTCAGAGAAAATGCCAGTATTCTTCCCGTTCCAAGAGTATTCTAAAAGGAAATTTCAAAAGGGATCCTTTGGGTGCCAGAGCGTGCCTGTGGAAGTCAGAGGGCCTCCTTGGGTGCCAGTCCTGTCTGTCCACCTTGTCTGAGACAGGACACCTCTTTTGCTGGTCTCTATTGTGTCTGCTGCCAGGCTGGTTGACCCGTGTGTCATGTGCTTCTGGAGCTCTTTCTGTCCCCGCCTTGCATCTCTGTGTAAGAGTGTTGGAGTCACAGATGTGCTCTGCTGTGCCCAGCTCTTACATAGGTTTGAGGGATTTAAACTCACATCCCCCAGCTGCACGGAAAGTGCTTTAGCCATTAAGCAACCTCCACAGCTTGATTTTTTTAAACCAAACTAAAGAAAATAAAATCCTTAACCATCTCTCCTCCCCAACCTCTATCTTTAAGTCACATTCCCTCATCTGGGAACCCCTTTGGGTTCTGATTCTGTATAGGTGAACTTTATTTAAATCTGGTTGTTTCCTATTGACTCAACTCTGATTCTCTCTGTTGCCAGGAGGCCCAGAAGATAAATAATGGCTCCAGCCAGGCAGATGGTACCCTCAAACCAGTGGACGAAAAAGAGGAGGTGGTGGCAGCCGAGGTCGGCTGGATGACTTCCGTGAAGGACTGGGCAGGGGTGATGATATCTGCCCAGACACTGACTGGCAGAGTTCTGGTGAGTCCTTGGCCCCTCCCATATGAGGTGGTCTTGTATCCGGGAAAGGGGTTTGCTTGGGAGGAGTGATGATGCTCTGAGTTTTCTCTAGGCCAAGTTGGATGAGTGGCCACTGCTCCCCTGAGATCATGGATCAGCATGGTACTCTTTACATGTGTCCAAGTCTATAATAGTATGGGGGCATCTACAGCAAGTGAGCCAGTATCATACTTTCACAACCTGCCTGGGGGGTGAATTGAACTGTCTCTGTCAGTAAAACAGATGTGCACATACATGAACAAAAACACATGTGCACACAAACACTATACCTGTACTATCTCAGCATAAATGTTGGGGGCATAGTAACACAAACCAGAAATATGTTTAGAGCTTGTTAATCCAGGATCTAGGAGTCTCTCTATCCTTACCACACCCTGTCTGAGAGAGAGCAGGAAGGAGAGGGAGAGGGAGGGTGTTGGCCTGTACAAGTTACTACGGTCCTCTAGCAGTCTGCTTGGGTGCAGTGTCTTCATCTGCACTGTGTCAACTAGCTCATGCAGTGCTCATATGGAGACTATGAGCAGCTCCTGTATGTGTGTGTGATATAGCATATATGTGGTGAGTGTATTGTAGTATGGATGTGTGTGTGTTATAGTATATATGTGGTGAGTGTATTACAGTGTGTATGTGTGTGTTATAGTATATATGTAGTGAGTGTATTGTAGTTTGTATGTGTGTGTGTGTTATAAGCAGGATTGTGATGTCTCCATCACTTTTCAGGGAATAGAAGGTTATAGGAATTACCAGTGTCTCAGTGCAGAGTAGGGAAGAACTGGGCAGATGGGGACTGTTGTCCACTTCTGCCAACCCTCTGCCTGCTCTAGGTGGGCTCCTTTCTTATTGCAGCACTGACTGGTGGCTTTCTTGGGCTGCTCTGGGTCAGGAGTTGCCTGATGATTCGGGTGACTTATCCCAGTGGCTCTGGCACATGTTTTGTGCAGGTCACCCTTTCTGGGCTTGAAGTGGGGGTTCCGTCAATAGTAGGGACCTCATCTGCCATTGGATCAAAGATAAAGCTAGGACTTGGGGTTTTACACATGGTTCCCCAGAAACTGCTTCTCCAGTGAGGAGGTGAATGCAAGTAAAGAAGGTGATGAGAGTCTCACTTACTCAAATCCTTCCTGGCAGTGTGTGGGATAGATGCCTCACGCACACTGGAGGGAGAGGGGAAGACACCGTGTGCCCTGCTTAAGGAACTCAAGAGACTAGCCAAATAATCTGGTAGGAGAACAGGACCCTGGGATCCAAGGGACCTTCTATGAGCTCAGGCCATAAAGTCATGTTGGTGTTAGCTGAAGGCTAAGTTCAAAAGAGAGGGAATGGAAGCTGACCCTTTGGAGGACAGAGAAGCTGACAAGGTCACTTGCTACAAGAAAGAAGACAGGGGGACTGTTGTGTCCTTTGTGAACCAGGAGAGGGGCTGATGAGCACTTGCGGGTGGTTTGCTGCTGGATGTGGGAACCACTGTCATCTGTTTCCTCTTCTCATTCTGTAAGGAAGATTTCTGTTGCTCTTTCACATTGGGTTATGAGTAGATTTTGCTCTAGAGACAACTGAGGTTGGGTTCTGGGTCTGGGTATGCTTGGGTGACAAGAGTGAGGTCATGCCTTCCACACATATGGTGGCAGTTCTGTGTGGTCATGAGAATGATCTATGAAAGTCATGCTTTCAACTTTGAATGAGTGAGTTTTAAATATATAGCAAGCTAAAGTATAGGAGAAATAACATGCAGTGTAGATATCAAAAGGCCATTAGACCGGAATACAAGGCATGCGACAGAGATGGACTGGGCAAGTTGAGACACTCAGTTAGAATTCCCAAATGGCTGAACTTCCCATTGCTGAACTTCCAGCTTCTCTTTCCCACTGCAGGCACTTTAATATCATGGGTGTGAACCGTAGTAACATCTACTGGAATTAGTTTCCCTTTCAGTTTTTCTCAAGACTACAATGCTTTTACTCTTGGCCTGTTTTACCCTCTTCATCACAGAGTTTGGGGGCTGGTAGCTTATCACAGAAGAGGGGTCTTGAGGACACTTTGAGGCAAACATGCTTGGGTCTGAGACAGTCCATTCTCAGTGAACTCCTATGGCACTCGATGGTTTACCAGGAGAACATACATTCCTCTGGCCATGGCAGATACAGCGTGGCAGGGTTGGTATGGATGTTATAGCTGCTCCTGTCCAGGGCCATTACAGCCAGTGTGCTTCATCAGAACGAGCTGAGGGGTCCTAGCATCAACTCTGGGCCAGAGGTTTTGTCTGACGAGGTGGGAAACAAACACAGGCACTGATTGGTGGTAGAATTCTTGCTTAGGCCCTGGGTTCAATGACAAGTACCAAAAAAAAAAAAATAGAAAAAGGATAAATGTGGTGGTGCCTTCCAGGACTTGGGAGGCTGAGGCGGGAGGGATCATGGGCTCAAGAAAAGCCTGTGTTACATAGCAATAAGCTGTGTTAGAAACAAACAAACAAACAAACAAAATCTGACCAGAGGAAAAAAGGGAATTCTTGGTGGGTCAGCTAGGAAGAGTGCCTAAGGCAGAACACATTTGAGGGTTAACTAGACACCCCATTTAGTTGCCCTTTTCAAAAGTGAATTAGCATCTTAAAAGCCAAAGGGAGGAAATAACGTCATTAAGGAAAGCAAGCTGTGGGAGCAGAACATAGTGCATTATGGGACTCTGAATGGTTGTCCAATGAGGCTGAGGGCCAAGAACACCAAGGCATTGGGCTCAAAGAAAGCCTGGAAGGTTGACTGAAGACAGCTTGTCTGGCCTGAAAATACCAAGTTAACAAATATGCGCAAACTTTGTAGGACAAGGATATTTTGAGAGTGGGGTGCTAACGCTGGTGTTGTATATCCACCTGGGAGGGGGTGGCTACTCAGAGGGGGAAACGAGCTGAGAGATCCTGGGACAACTTAGAGCAGTGAGCTTACTCCAGTGATAGCACAAGATGGCAAGACAAGGCCTGAAGTATAAACAGGTCAAGAGGTCAGGGAGGTTGATATGCCTGGTAGTATACAACTGGGGTGCGTAGGGCCAACCACTCCCCAGACCACTGCCCTGCTCTCCATATACCATCAGTAATACTGCAGAGAGCATGCTGTGAGCCCTGCAGGCACTGCGTCAGCCCTGTTCCTTTGCTTCAGGTGGAAAGGCATGGACCCAGCCATTCTGTTCAGTCACATATCCTGCATAGCTGTTGGATTGCAGTGTTCCAGTTTCATTCCCGTTGATATGAGAAAACATCCTGACAGCTTAGTGGGGAAAGGGTTTAGCTCATAATTTTATGTGGCAGTTCACCATGTGGGAAAGTTTAAGTGGCAGGAACTTGAGGGAGCTGTTCACATCCACAGACAAGACTAGAAAATCAACAAATGCACCCTGCCCACCTATTTGCTTCCTTACATTCAGTTTCTCCTTTTAGGCATTTCGGGAACCCCTGCCTAGGGAATGGTATTGCCCACAGTGGGCAAGTCTTCCCATATCATTTAGTGAAGGCAATCCCCACAGACATATCCACAAGCCAAATCAAAGTAGACAGTCCTTCCCTGACACTCTGCTCATGTGATTCGATGTTGTGTCAAGTTGACAAAACTAATCATTAAACCAGCTCTCACCACAAGGAAGCCAGCTAATCTTACCAAAGAATCCATCTCTCCCTCACCCTGAGCAAAATCAAGCCTCAAGGAGGGATTTTGGTTGGAAGACAGGAAGCAAAGCAACTGTCAGTGGCAGCTGGATAGCCACATGGACTCTAGACACTCAACTAGTGTTCCCATGTAAGGACAGTGCCTCTTCTAAGTCACTACCAGATGTTACTCTGGCTGTGACAATCTAACATTACTGTTTTAGTGAACTAGGTCCAAGGACCTAAGTCCCGATCCCCTTACCTCTCACAGGTAGCAGCAAGTACAGCCTAAGCCTTTTTGCCTAGAGCTGCCTACGGTGTCAACTGGTCTCCTTAGAGAAAGTCCTGCCAGGGTGTTGGGTCCCCTTGAAGCGAGGGATCCCTCCAACACACAGCAGTGTCTAAGAGTTGTTTGAGCCTCGCTCTGCACAGAACACAGGTTTTCCGCTGAAATAGCAGCACACAGGATGAAGCTGCCATACCTGTTCTGAGTCCAAAGCTGTGTTTGTCTTGAGCTATCCAGATGTTTATCCCTGTAACAGTGGGACCAAACCAATACTAGACACCAGCTGTTGAGTTTCCTCTTTCAATTTTTAATCTGTTTCCCTTGATGCATGCTCAGGAGCTCGGCCTCCACATCTGAATCTCTCTCACTTGTCTGTTGAAACTCCTAAAACTGGAATGTGATGGGTGAGGTTCAGCTGGCAAAGGATTGGCTAAGTAGCCCAGATTATCTGTACCATCTGACCTCGATGGCAAAGCACCGTGTTTGACAAATGGTAATTTCTTACCAGCTCTGGCTGTGTATGACATACAGGCATAAAACAATGAGCAAGAAAACCCCGAGTGTGAGTTAGTCATACTCTTGGATTAGGTGTGTAATTGTACAGTTCCATCTCTGTCACAAGTGGTCAGCACCATTCACCAGGGGCCTCAGCACCAAAGTGATGATTTCCTGGACCCTAAGGTTCCAAGTCTTAGACTGACCTTTGCCCAATCTCTCTCCTTAAAACCAGGCTTTCTGGCCCCAAATCAGCAAGAGTGAGGAGACAGAGCCCTCCTCTGAAACAGGCCTGAGCCATACTAAACTGGAGGGATGCCAGGTGGACGAGAGTTATTGCTTTCTTTGTTTCATTTTTTTAAATTAAAGAATACTTATTTTCTTAAAAAGTTTTTAATTAAAAACATTATGGGGTGTGTGTGTGTGTGTGTGTGTGTGTGTGTGTGTGTGTGTGTGAGAGAGAGAGAGAGAGAGAGAGAGAGAGAGAGAGAGAAGCTATGAATATTGGAACTGTGTGCCTGTGTTTATAGAGGTGGATATAGAGTC